GCAAAAACGCAGTGCGAAAAAAATCTTCGTTGACGGATTAATTAGCCAAGTTGACCATACGAAATACATAATTAATCTCTAGTCGTCTGCTACGTGTATCACGTGATTCCCGCCCCCGGCCAGTGGTTGTGACGGGTCAGCTGTGCGGACAGACGAGTTGACCACTCGGGTCACCGCGTTCTGATTAAATGAGGTCACGAAATCTGCAGGTGTCGTGGTCACGTGGTGTGTGAAACCATGGCAACCTTTGAGGATATGAGGGGATGTTGGTTTTTAGGTTTTTATCTTATATGACATATGTGAGAATATGAGGGGATTGTTAGTTTTTACAAGCTTTTATTTAACTCACTTCTTCGTCAGTCTGTCGTCAGTCTGTCGTCAGTCTGTCGTCAGTCTGTCGTCAGTCTGTCGTCAGTCTGTCGTCAGTCTGTCGTCAGTCTGTCGTCAGTCTGTCGTCAGTCTGTCGTCAGTCTGTCGTCAGTCTGTCGTCAGTCTGTCGTCAGTCTGTCGTCAGTCTGTCTAGATCGAAACGCACGAGCAAAATTGCAGGCATTTCTAACTGACAGATACGGTTCGCAATTGGTACGTGGGTCAAGACATAAAGAAAATGCATCATGAAATTAAATTTGACTTAATTGGATGCCTAATTAATTTTTTTATAAATGTATTAAAATTTTGATCAAATAAGTAGGCAGTCTTATCCGACTACTCCACACGTGTCATCATGTTCAATGCGTGCGTAACGGTTTTTAGTCATGAAACTCTAGTGTAAATAAAACATGTAAAGTACTAAAAAAAATTCACCAAAAACGTTTTAATAACAAGCTTTTATGTAATAATGCACTGAAAAGGAGAAAATAAATTATAGACTACTACTTAAATAACTATAAAGAAAAGCGTGGGTCTATTCCTAAACATTAGTAAAGGTATCCAATAGATACTAAAGTGATTCAAGCTTTTCTTTATAGTTATTTAAATAGTGGTCTATAATTTATTTTCACCTTTTTAGTGCATTATTACATAAAAGCTTGTTATTAAAACGTTTTTTTATGAATTTTTTTAGGTTTTTATCTTGTATGACATCTGTGTGGATATGAGGGGAATGTTAGTTTTCAGGTTGTAACTTGCATGGTAAATGTGAGGATATGAGGGGAATGTTAGTTTTTAGGTTGTAACTTGCACGGTAAATGTGACAATATGAGAGGAATGTTAGTTTTTAGGTGTGTTTTTTAATCTTGTATGGCAACTGTGAGGCTATATGCTATAAGGGATATGTTAGTTTTAAGGTTTTAAATAATCCGACTTTGAACTTCAGAATGAGTAAAAGTACTTTAGGATAATTTACACAAAAAAGGTAAAGCACCTACAAAACTGAGGGTCGAAATATTAGAACACGGAGCTAAGTTTGTCACACATCTATAGCATCTAAACTACTGTGCTAAGTTTGTCACACATCTATAGCATCTAAACTACTGTGCTAAGTTTGTCACACATCTATAGCATCTAAACTACTGTGCTAAGTTTGGCACACATCTATAGCATCTAAACTACTGTGCTAAGTTTGGCACACATCTATAGCACCTAAACTACTGTGCTAAGTTTGGCACACATCTATAGCACCTAAACTACTGTGCTAAGTTTGGCACACATCTATAGCACCTAAACTACTGTGCTAAGTTTGGCACACATCTATAGCACCTAAACTACTGTGCTAAGTTTGGCACACATCAATAGCACCTAAACTACGTCCTAACAAAGTCCACACCGCACAGTACTTTAAAACCCGGACTTTCATTGGACTAACGTCAAAAGTAGCAAGTCAGCTCAGGTAGTGTTTACTTCCCTACTAATCCAGGTCACGTCAGTTCGCACCTAACACACCCTAACAGGAACTTGTCGGCACGCATGACCTTCTTTGTTGCATAAATTTGCAATACCTAGGATTAAGATGGAGAGATAAAATCTTCAAAGTAAAAATCTCGAAGGTATCTCTTTATTCAAACTCGAGTTAATGTAGGCCTACTTTATAAAAAAGAGGGGAAGTAGGACATATTATATTAAAAAGACGTGTAGGCCTACACCCAAAATGTGAATTAAATTGCAAAGATGCGCAAATTTATGTCCAGTTCTTTAATTCAAAATGAAGGTAGAAAAAAAATAAAGTTATTTTAAAAACACGTGCTCTAGATAGTGCGCGAGGTGCTGGACGTCCCACTGTCTTGTTGGGCACCACCCCCCCCCTACTCAGAGGAGAACGTCCACCCCCCCCTACTCACACGAGCACGTCCAAACACCCTCCCCCCTCCCCCATAGGATGGAATAAAAACAATAGCATTCATATAGACAATATTTTACCATAGTTAGTATCCCGCCCTCGGAGAAAAATGTCTGAAAGAAACCCTGGGTAGGTTGATAGAGAAAAGACTAATAAAATTAGTTACAAACCCATGTGGTTATGTAAGGGATTAGAGCTAGTGTTATAATTTACTTTGTGTTTAATGAGTCTAGAATGACGAATAATAACAATAAGATAATTTTACTACAGCTAATTGAAAATAATCTTAATTTAGTCTCGAATTCAGATCTCAGGCTCCAGATCATAAGATTACCCTGAGTTCACCCAGCTTTAATGGGTACCTGACTGACTATTAAAAAATAAAATTTAAAATATATGATCCATTTAGAATTAAGTTCTAACAATTGATTTATTTCATATTTAGTCAAGTAAAATTTCCTTTAGGTTTCAATATATATGTAATAATAGTGATATCTGTAATAATATAAATCTTAGACATAAAGTAGTTATTGAAAAGTGACAGCAATGTTATTGGCTTAATGTCTGTACAATTTCGTAATTCTTCGCATTGTTTTTTAGTTATGTTAATGAGCTTAGACGTTATGATAATGAAGTGATTTAGGCCATGATTGCTTCGCTTCACCGACTACATAAAAAACAAACAAAAGTAGGCTTACACTTACAGCTGATTACAAAAACGTATAAAGTACTTTTAGGGCTATACATTTCGCACAGTAGTGTAAGATACCTTAGGTTAATACATTCAATATTTTAATATTGCACTTTTAAAATTGATCTCTTCGATTATAGTGATTTGGTCAACTTGTGGTATTTTATACATCATTGAATATTCATTTTACATTGCTTATAGTAATTATATCATCAAATAACTTTTTAAACTTTTTAGTTTAGTGTTAATGACAGGGTTAGGTTTAAGGTTAAGGTATTGTCTTCAACATTATTCGAGATTTTAAAAAAAATGGGACGGACAATTGCATCTATACCTAACAGCTATAAATAAAAGTACGCATCTAGCTATCAAGGTACGAAATAGAGGTATATTTCCCCGCCCCGGGGTATGTTCGAATGACGTCACGATTGTGTAATCAAGAGTTTGATCTGCTGGAATGTCAAACCCCAGGTAAGTTGGTGGACTCGGTACAAACAGACACGGCGCCCTGTGTGTAACTGGTGTGTGATCGCTCATGCCACGCTACAGGTGAACTCCGTTCCGCGCGAGTAGGCAGACGACAACACGGTCAGCTGGCTGGCTTGAGGGTGACCTAGTTAACCCTCAGGGACGGTGGAGGTGGCTGATCCCTGTGTCGGTAAAGAGCCTACATCCCCACCCCTCCCCTCGCTCTAATCTCCAAACCCTTGCCCGAACCGACCCTTCTAGTACACAGATGAGTTTGTCAGCTTAGCTACAAACCAATGTGGCTTATCAGTTGTTTGTCACACATTCATACCAAAGAGATTAAAGCTAATGTCATAATTTACTTTACAGTTTCCCCAAACATTCATAGCAAAACGAATTGAGCTAGTGTTATACATTACTTAGCAGTTGCTGCAACATTCATATTAAGTGGATAAAGAAGTGTTAAAATTTACTTTGTGCTTAATGAGTCCTAAATGACGAATAATAACAATAATATAATTAAAAAATTATATAGGCCTAATAAAAAATTATCGTATTTTACGATTATTATTTTGATTAATTAGTCCCACTTTAATAATTATGTCATATAACTACGTAACAAACACTACATTAAGTTTTACAATACCAGAATGGATACAATAATATATTCCTTACAATTTGGAAAGTTTGTATTTTGATATCTGCATTGTTTTTTTTTTTAAAATCCCGTTTCAATACCTTTTTTACACCTGGGAATTTCAGGAAGTTACGTAACAGCCGCAGGTTTTCCCAAACATTGTAATAGTTGGAAGTGTGACAACACTACGTGTATGTAACTCCCTGACTAGCAAACAATCTATCTACTTATTTTCTGATTATGTTAAGAGAGACGGGGGGGGGGGCTTGGGAGAATCATACCTGATAACTAATATTCGAGAAAGGAATGTTTTAGCATCTATAAATGGGAATTCATTAGCAGGATTCATGGTTGAATGATTCACCCTAGCCGTCTTCCAGACACTTCCTACACCTCCTCAGTGAAGCGTGAACGAATTCCATTGGATGATTCAAACATTTTTTGTCATACATGGACTTTAGACGAGTGAATTCAAAAGAGAGGAAGTCGCTTATAAAAGTCTTAAATGTTAATTTTATCGCAAGGTGCTCTATTTCTGTAGCAGGAAAAAAAATTAAAGTTATTTTTTAACTACAATTTCACAATATTTAACTCTATTTGGGCTGCTATAATTATATCATAATCCCAAAGCATCTGTTTAATCTGTATGTTGAGCTTATAAACATTAAACCATACAAGCCTGAATAGATTAACTATGATACAAGATTATCAGATGTAGGCTGGTTTGATCCTGGTTAAGGAATTCTTGTTTAAAAATAAAATACCTTTTTATCTCGGTCTATCAGCTAATTTTGTGTTTCCGGCGTGCGAATGTGTTGCTGCGAATAAGCGAATAAGGGGGCGAGAACGGAGGAAGTGACCCCAGTTCGACAGGTAGGCCTTACTATAAAAGGGCTTGCGGGAGAGTCGTTTCCCCTCGATCGCTAGAGTCACTGGTTGTGCGTTGATTTCAAACGGCGGAGTGTTTTTCTCTGTATGCCTTGTGCTGTATTTTCTTGGATTAATCTGTGAACTACTGTGTGACTTATTGCGTTTTTGGATTTCATATTAAGTTTGATTTCAAGAAGAAATTTAATAGTTTTTGAAGATGGTAACAATATAGCATAAACCATCGGTATATTAGTCTATTAGTTTGTGTTTTTTTCTCAATTAGATCTACTTGAATTTCAGTAAGTACTAAAGATCTTAGACTAGTTCAAACAGTTATGGCTAACCTAACCCCACACATGATGAGAAAAGGCAACGGCTCGTCAGACGACCTAGACGAACTGTTGTGGAATAACTCGGACACCGTCCGTAGCGCCATCAAACGGGTCAACTTCGACAACAACGACCCTTTCACCATCCACCAAAAGCGCGTCGAACACAGAACAAGCGTCAGGGAAATTTTCCCCGAGCCCGAAGATGTGACGCCATCACCACAGAAAAACAGTTTACCTCAAACTGAAAATGGTTCCACGCCACAAAAAGTCAAAGACAGTTTTACTCAACCTGAAAACGGGAAAACGCCACAAAGAATAGTCCGATCGTCTCCGACGTGGGATAAAGATCAACCTTTAACAATCACAGTAGAGAAAGAGGATAAGCTGGATAGATTAGACAGGTTCGACAAAGGTTTGTTTTTAGAGAAGATGACCATGACGTCAGACACGGACAGCATCAAGAAAAGTCACCCCCGGGGCTTGCATTTCTTCCAGCGGTACCGGTGCTGTTTTAGTTTCCTGAACACGGAGTTCGACGATCTCATGAGCATCTCGTTCTGGAAGGCGTGTCTGGCGGAGTTCTTCGGCACCTTCCTGCTGTGTTTCTTCGCCATCGCCATGGGGTTGCACAAAGACGGCTCCCCGCCTCCCCCGCTACTTCAGGTGTGTAGTGTACACAGTTAAAAATAGATTTTGTGGGTGTTTGTGGGGGAGGGAGGTGTTTTAACCGTTGATCATTGTCGACATAAAAGTTGGGTATAATGAGAAGTGTAGGCCTACAGGTGATTTCTGTGTGCTTGACGAAGACCTTGGGTCGAAACGTCCATAGTATTTGTAACTGTCTTTAACTTGTTAGGTAGCTAACACTATCTTTTATTACTAATTGAATCAACCTCACTACAGCTAGGGCCTACTATTTTGTATTAATCTTTAAAAGGGGTGTTAGGTTACTGGTAGTTAACTAAATATTATGACGTGGTACTGTTAATCCTAACCCCAACCCTAGTCCTACCATACGCCTTCCCCTTATTTCTATCATTAAATCTAGTTAAGATTGCAATACTACCGGCAACACACATATTTTAGGAAGTCTATAATCGGACCCCTGTATCCACATTCATCCGGCCTACGTTTAATTTTAGCCTACTCGTCACCAGAAAAATAGGGGTGATACGTTTTTTTCTTTTGTTAACAATTATCTCGTTACATTTGTGTGGACTGGTCCCTCAGTCTATCTGGAAAAGTCCCGATGCCCCCCCCCCCCTGGATAATGTCTCAGTGGGCCCCGACTAAGGTGCTATAATAGTCCTATTAATGTTTTGATTGAAAAGGAACTAATTTATGTTTTACCATTCTTCATTCCAAAGCGTAAATTACAAGCTTTGAGAAAAAAATACACAATGAAAAATTCACTCTGCCCATTTTTAGAATGTCCCTTATGACTTAGGACACTGCCAGTCCTACCATGATTATAGAACTGTTAGTGTATTTGTCTGACATAATATATAGACCTACTGGTACAAATAAACCGACATTACTCAAACTTCTGACCCTTTGTTTTCGCAAGTGGATAAGTATATGGTCTTTCTTAGATGTCGGGCTATATTGTTTAATTTAATAAGATCCAGTTTCTTATATCAATGGCTACACAAATATTAACTGTAGTCTAGTGGAAAGGGGACGGAGTGAAGAAAAAAATTTTTACCAGCTTACAGCCCAACTAGATACAAAATGTAACTAAGAAAATAAACTTAAACTAGCTATTATTCCAACTATGACTTTTTTTTGCCCCCCCCCCCCCCCTCCTTCTCAACTCAGCACCTGTTAATACACACCCAGCACCACACTGTGTAGCGCGAATATATTTAGAATCTGACACATAAGGCGACATTACATCCGGGGGCTTTTTTTTGTAAAGGGAAGTAACACTGTTGATACCATCAGACCGTAGCGAGCATCCCAGCATCCGTCTTCATTGTGTGTTGAAACTACCGCTCTATGAACTAGGTGAACGTTTGTCTATGTTGAACGTACCCCACGGTACACAGTAATGTGAACACTCCCATGATTTCATTCAAACTGCGTTATGGGACAATCCTTAGAGGTGGGTTACAAAAGACGATTTGCGTACAAAAAAGTTGATGCGCAGCCTACGTGTTGGTAGTTAGGGCTACATTAAAAATAGTTGCAGTATCTTTAAAGTATTATTTCAGGAGGGGCTACATTATAGTGGTTGCAGTATCCTTAAAGTATTATTACATGAGGCTCTATAATACTAGACTGGAGTAGGTTAATTAAAGGGCTTATCTACGCTGGAGTTAATAAATGCCTAATTGGGGTCATGCTGTGACAACTTATAGGTATCTTTTGTTCAAAAGATATGGTTTATTAGTACCAATATTAGGGATAAGTAGTACCAAAGGTGGATGGGTTCAGTAATTACATGAAATGAGGCCTCGTAGTTTTCAAAGGCGGGGGGGGGGGGGGGGGGGGGGGATGGAGGCGGGGGGGGGGCCTGTAGTCTTCAAAGGTTGGGGACAACTTAATTTTCTAAGACGGCGGAACAGTAGTTTTTAAATAATGCATAGTTTTTAAAGATGGGGGAGGGGTGGGTGGGTTGGATCCCGTAGTTTTCAAAGATGTGGGAACACAGCTTTTTAAAGATGGGGGATTTAACATAGAACCAGCCAAATGACCCTAACAACAAACCATCCAAATGACCCTAACAACAAACCATCCAAATGACCCTAACAACAAACCATCCAAATGACCCTAACAACAAACCATCCAAATGACCCTAACAACAAACCATCCAAATGACCCTAACAACAAACCATCCAAATGACCCTAACAACGAACCAGCCAAATGACCCTAACAAAGAACCAACAAAAATGACCCAAACAACGAACCATCCAAAAGACCCTAACAACAAACCAACAAAATGACCCTAACAACGAACCAACCAAATGACCCTAACAACGAACCAACCAAATGACCCTAACAACGAACCAACCAAATGACCCTAACCTATTTTCCTGTTACCAGGGGGCGCTGGGATCTGGTCTGTTCCTGGGTGTCCTCATCAGCTGTCTGGCAGCTGTCAGTGGGGGTCATGTCAACCCAGCTGTCACTGTCGGGTTTGCTGTCATTCGCGAGATCAGTCTAGCCAGGTAAGATAATGAGCTAATTGTTGTTTGTACTTCCGGTTAATCATCTAAGTCACATAAAGTGTGTTTCACTAAAGGTGTGTGTCTCTTAATGTACGTGTCACTTTTTGTGCGGGTCACCTATTGTGTTATGTGTCACCTAATTCGTATGTTACATGTCCCTTACTATGTAAGTTATGTGTCATCTAATATGTATGGTATTTGTCACATAATGGGTATTGTGTGTGTCACCTCATGTGTATATTTTGTCTCCTAATGTGTATGTTGTGTCACCTCATGTGTATGTTGTGTCACCTCATGTGTATGTTGTCACCTCATGTGTATGTTGTGTGTCACCTAATATGTATGTTGTGTCAGTTAATTTGTGTGTTGTGTGTCACCTAACTTGTATGTTGTGTGTCACCTAATGTGTATGTTGTGTGTCACCTAATGTGTATGTTGTCTCACCTAACGTGTATGTTGTATGTCACCTAATGTCACCTAATGTGTATGTTGTCTCACCTAATGTGTATGTTGTGTGTCACCTAATATGTATGTTGTGTCACCTAATGTATTTGTTGTATGTCACCTAACGTGTATGTTGTATGTCACCTAATGTCACCTAATGTGTATGTTGTCTCACCTAATGTGTATGTTGTGTGTCACCTAATATGTATGTTGTGTCACCTAATGTATATGTTGTACGTCACCTAACGTGTATGTTGTATGTCACCTAATGTCACCTAACGTGTATGTTGTCACACCTAATGTGTATGCTGTGTGTCACCTAACGTGTATGTTGTATGTCCCCTAACGTGTATGTTGTATGTCCCCTAACGTGTATGTTGTATGTCCCCTAACGTGTATGTTGTATGTCCCCTAACGTGTGTGTTGTGTGTCACCTAATGTGTATGTTGTGTGCCACCTAATGTGTATGTTGTGTCACCTAATGTGTATGTTGTCTCACCTAACGTGTATGTTGTATGTCACCTAATGTCACCTAATGTGTATGTTGTATGTCCCCTAACGTGTATGTTGTGTGTCCCCTAACGTGTATGTTGTGTGTCCCCTAACGTGTATGTTGTGTGTCACCTAATGTGTATGCATGTATGCCCCCTCAGGACCGTGTGCTACATCATCTTCCAGTGCTGTGGTGTATGTTGTGTAACCTAATGTGTATGTTGTGTGTCACCTAATGTGTATGTTGTGTCACCTAATGTGTATGTTGTGTGTCCCCTAACAAGTGTTGTCTCACCTAATGTGTATGTTGTGTGTCCCCTAACATGTATGTTGTGTGTCCCCTAACGTGTATGTTGTGTGTCACCTAACGTGTATGTTGTGTGTCCCCTAACGTGTATGTTGTGTGTCCCCTAACGTGTATGTTGTGTGTCCCCTAACGTGTATGTTGTGTGTCCCCTAACGTGTATGTTGTGTGTCCCCTAACGTGTATGTTGTGTGTCCCCTAACGTGTATGTTGTGTGTCCCCTAACGTGTATGTTGTGTGTCCCCTAACGTGTATGTTGTGTGTCCCCTAACGTGTATGTTGTGTGTCCCCTAACGTGTATGTTGTATACCCCCACAGGACCGTGTGCTACATCATCTTCCAGTGCTGCGGTGTATGTTGTGTCCCCTAACGTGTATGTTGTGTCACCTAACATGTATGTTGTATGTCCCCACAGGACCGTGTGCTACATCATCTTCCAGTGCTGCGGTGCTGTGAGCGGCTCTATGTTGTGTGTCCCCTAATGTGTATGTTGTGTAACGTGTATGTTGTATGTCCCCACAGGACCGTGTGCTACATCATCTTCCAGTGCTGCGGTGCTGTGAGCGGCTCGATGTTGCTGAGGGAGATAACACACGAGAACATGGTCGGTGGCCTGGGCGTCATCCACCCACCTGAGGGGATAGGGAATCAGCAGGTGAGGGCACGTTTGACAGGTGTGTTAGTGGACAGGTGTGGTAGTGGACTGGTGTGCTAGTGGACAGGTGTGCGAGTGGACAGGTGTGGTAGTGGACAGGTGTGGTAGTGGACAGGTGTGGTAGTGGACAGGTGTGGTAGTGGACAGGTGTGGTAGTGGACAGGTGTGGTAGTGGACAGGTGTGGTAGTGGACAGGTGTGGTAGTGGACAGGTGTGGTAGTGGACAGTGCTGTCAGTTGTGGTAGTGGACAGGTGTGGTAGTGGACAGGTGTGGTAGTGGACAGTGCTGTCAGGTGTGGTAGTGGACAGGTGTGGTAGTGGACAGGTGTGGTAGTGGACAGTGCTGTCAGGTGTGGTAGTGGACAGTGCTGTCAGGTGTGGTAGTGGACAGTGCTGTCAGGTGTGGTAGTGGACAGTGCTGTCAGGTGTGGTAGTGGACAGTGCTGTTAGGTGTGGTAGTGGACAGTGCTGTTAGGTGTGGTAGTGGACAGGTGTGGTAGTGGACAGTGCTGTCAGGTGTGGTAGTGGACAGTGCTGTCAGGTGTGGTAGTGGACAGTGCTGTTAGGTGTGGTAGTGGACAGGTGTGGTAGTGGACAGGTGTGGTAGTGGACAGTGCTGTCAGGTGTGGTAGTGGACAGGTGTGGTAGTGGACAGTGATGTCAGGTTGTGGTAGTGGACAGGTGTGGTAGTGGACAGGTGTGGTAGTGGACAGTGCTGTTAGGTGTGGTAGTGGACAGTGCTGTCAGGTGTGGTAGTGGACAGGTTGTGGTAGTGGACAGTGATGTCAGGTTGTGGTAGTGGACAGTGATGTCAGGTTGTGGTAGTGGACAGTGATGTCAGGTTGTGGTAGTGGACAGGTGTGGTAGTGGACAGGTTGTGGTAGTGGACAGTGATGTCAGGTTGTGGTAGTGGACAGTGATGTCAGGTTGTGGTAGTGGACAGTGATGTCAGGTTGTGGTAGTGGACAGTGATGTCAGGTTGTGGTAGTGGACAGTGATGTCAGGTTGTGGTAGTGGACAGTGCCAGTGACGTAGGCAGGGGGGTTAGGGGGGGGGTCATATATATATAAAGTATGAGGGGGGGGGGGGGTGCAAATCGAAAGTTTGAGGGGGGGTGCAAATCGAAAGCTTGTCCCCTGGTAAAAATTGGACCCCCCCCTTGAGACAATCCTGGCTACGCCACTGGACAGTGCTGTCAGGTGTGGTAGTGGACAGTGCTGTCAGGTATGTGGCGGTGATGGCAGTGTGGTCGACAGATATGGTTGTTACGACAGTGACATGAATAGTGACATGGGGTGACATGTTTATGTTCAGAGTAAATGTCCGAAATTTTTGATTTTCCCTGTCGCCTTTCTCTGCTATTGTCTCGGCATATTCCACACAACGTTAGTTATGGGGTCATCCTTTTATGACGACCACAAAAATGTATGATTTTAGACCCCCCCCGCCTCCAGTCCACAACTCGATTTTTTTTCGGACCCCCCCCCCCCCCCCCTTGTGGACGTTATTAATGGATGCCCCCTATCCGTTTAACATTAACTACTCAATTATCAAGTTTATTTTTAAACACTTAGTAAATGTAACAGATACCAAAATTAAGATTCCTTGTACACAACACACAGTACAACAAAGTAAATTTACTTGTACACTTATACAAGAACTTAACACCCAGTTGACAATTACGTTAATTTTCTATCAAAAGATACGGGCACTGTGAGAATATGTGTACACAAAACACAGTGGCTTCCCTTGCCCTACTAAATGTATACAACCAAGGGAGACAAAAATTGTTTCAACTACAACTAGTCCCGGGTACATAGTACATACCTGATCGTGTCGACTCTAAGTCAACCGTCCATTTCACACGTGACTAAACAATGACGTCACAGCAATTTGACTGAAAGGGTTATGGGAGTGCGTGTTTGCCCGTAGTCCCCTCCCCCACCCCTTCCATTGAGGAGCCGGTTAGATCTGGTTTAAACAAGAGAAGGGTTTGACATGAATGACGCGACAGGACTAGAGTCATTGAAGAAGTTATTGAATTTTTTTTCTTCTTTCAACCTCTGGGGAGTGGTGATTGCGTGGGACGTCACTGAAACTTGTTTGAACGTTGTACGTTTAAGAACAATTGGTTTAGCCGTACCTCAACACGTGTTTAAAATATTGGTTAATATTTTAAATAAGTTTAGACAAGTTTGTCTACAGGATTGGTGTAGTTACTATAGCCCTAAATCAAACGATTTACCTTACACTAAAACTCGTATGCATTTTGTTAAACCAGATCCAACATATTCATCTAGATTCTTTGAAAAAAAATTGTGGTTTTGTATTTGATAATAATTTAAACCGGTCTATTTTGTAATAAAATATTTGTTAATCGTCCCTAGGCTAACCCTGGCAAAAAACAAAATAGGATTTTTAACCTAAAACAAAACGCTGATGTCCTAAAGTTTGACATTACATTGATTCTGTTGACTTCGATCTCTAGGCTTATTTAAACTTAAAACAAATAATTGTTTCCACCAACCGTATTATTACATATTAGTACATATTCAAATCTTAACTTGGTGTTTTGTAATTTAATCTATCATCTTTACGCCCTAAATGTTTCTCTGTAAATTAACAATACGTATATAAATGTAATATACCTTAATTTTTTGTGTTAAAAGGCTTTTTATAACTCTTTCTAGGCAATCGTTGTTGAAATGATGATCACAGGATTTTTAGTTTTTGTGGTTATGGCCCATGTGGACAAGGGTAGGAGAGATATTCAGGGTTCTGTCCCCTTCATGGTTGGACTCACAATATTTGCCAACGTTTTAGTAGGGGTAAGTGTGATAGTGTTGTGGGTTATTTTTTTTTTTTTTGTTTGTTAGTTTATTGTTAATAAATCACAATATTTAAATTTAATGAAACAAAATTTCTTTTATTTTATTGTTTAGAAATAAAAAATCGCAATACTTAAATTTAATGGAACAAAACTTCACTTAAATTCTGGTTTCTAGGAAATATTTTGTTTCTATTTTTGCAATAATAGATTGAAAATCTAAAATTTATTTAAAATATCATTATTATTCTACCAGAAATAACAATAATTTAGCATTTTCTCCTGTTAATGAGTCCTTTTAAAAAAAAAATGTTTTATGTTACAAAAGTGAAACTTGTTTTTAGTTAAATCAAATGGTAAAAAAGACAATGTCACAACATACACTGAACTATGTACTCACCTTCCCACAGGCTCCAAGCTCTGGTGGATGTATGAATCCTGCACGTGCATTGGGTCCTGCTGTTGTTATGGGAGACTTCCAGCACCAATGGGTGAGTACATATACACATACAGTATTTAATTAGGTTATGTGGAGTTGGATGGACATATATACATACAGTATTTAATTAGGTTATGTGGAGTTGGATGGACATATATACATACAGTATTTAATTAGGTTATGTGGAGTTGGATGGACATATATACATACAATATTTAATTAGGTAATGTGGAGTTTGATGGACATATATACATACAGTATTTAATTAGGTAATGTGGAGTTGGATGGACATATATACATACAATATTTAATTAGGTTATGTGGAGTTGGATGGACATATATACATACAGTATTTAATTAGGTTATGTGGAGTTGGATGGACATATATACATACAATATTTAATTAGGTAATGTGGAGTTTGATGGACATATATACATACAGTATTTAATTAGGTAATGTGGAGTTGGATGGACATATATACATACAATATTTAATTAGGTAATGTGGAGTTGGATGGACATATATACATACAGTATTTAATTAGGTAATGTGGAGTTGGATGGACATATACATACAATATTTAATTAGGTAATGTGGAGTTGGATGGACATATATACATACAGTATTTAATTAGGTAATGTGGAGTTGGATGGACATATATACACACAGTATTTAATTAGGTTATGTGGAGTTGGATGGACATATATACATACAGTATTTAATTAGGTTATGTGGAGTTGGATGGACATATATACATACAATATTTAATTAGGTAATGGGGAGTTGGATGGGGTTTTCGTTGCACATCCATTGAGGGTGGTGACGGATGTGAAGATGTGCTACTGTGGGCTTTGACATTTTCTGAAGAAATATGTTGAATTGATGATAGTTTTATGGCTAGTTTACTAAAGAGTTGGGGGGGGGATGCTAGAATCTGAAATGCTATTGAGAGGGGCGTTGGCTGTTTATACATATTTCCATAATGAACGTTTACCTTTACAAAACTAACAAGAATTGTGTGAAGGTACTTGTGGGCTTACACAAATTTGATTCTTAAATTTTGATTATAATATAATCAGAATAAATGATTTAATATTTAAATAAGTCATTGAACAAGTCTTTAAATATTAAATTTAGTTTATTGGCAATATTAGATAAAGATTTAGGATTATTTGAGGTTAAATTTTAAACTTTCTTGCTTGAAAGTGCTAAAATATTAATCAAAATTTGATCTAAATGTTCAAATTTTTAAACAGTAGATATTTTCTGTGTAACTGATCTAGAATAGAAGCTCTATATAATTATGCCTGGAATGCTAATCACAAATATCTATTTATAGATCTACTGGATCGCCCCACTGATTGGTGGAGCACTGGGTTCATTGCTGTACACTAAAGTGTTTGCTGCCGACGCCTCGTTCAAGTCCATGATGGTCTCCTGCTGTAAGGCCAAGCCTGCAGATACAGCAGAGTACAGGTCTCTGCTCAAGAACAAGGAGAGGGAAAAGATCTCTGAAGATAACATCTGCACAGAGATTCCCATGCTGGAGAAAGCACCAGAAACCAATGTCTAAGTTGAAATATCAATATCTTTAAAACCTATGTCTGATTTTCAAGACTTCAAACATAGAATATCATTGAAACCTATGTCTGATTTTCAAGACTTCAAACAAAGAATATCATTGAAACCTGTCAGAATTTCAAGACTTCAAGCCTAGAATATTATTAAAAACCAATGTCTGAATTCAAGACTACAAGCCTAGAATAGCAATTGCGGATAATGTTCAGAATATCATTTTTAAGGATTTCACGTCTAGAATAACGCATTTTACAATCATACATTTCCATCAGGTTTTTTTATATTCAGCTTCCTCGGGGTTTTTCCTGAGCTTGTGTACATATTTTTTAACTTTGTTTTATCAGACTCATTGTATTTAAAAAAAAATTATTTTACTTTGTTCATGAAATAACTGTCATTAGTTTAAAATATTTCTACTGGTATAATGCTTGTCTCTATTTTTTACTGGATTGTCTCCTATTGTCATATACAAAGCATTTTGACAAAGTATGTATTTACTTTGTGTATCCCAAACATTCCTGATTGCAATGTGGCTACTGTTTTTTATGCTAATTTTTAAAACGAGTAAATAGATATTGTTGGATATGATCTCTCAAGGTTGTGATTGTAGAGACTTTTAAAAGTTTTGTGTTGTTTTACAAAGGATTCTTGCTCTTAGTTGGTGAACTTTTATTGCTGCTAATTCTCCAGCTTGTTAGAATGATGGCTATTGCTTGTTGTATGGGGGTGAAGAAATGCGTTGGTTATCTAGGGTTAAAGGTCATTTTCATATGCTAGGGATTTATGTTTTTATTGAAATGTATGGTAACAACTTGACAATGGAAATGGACTGTTATTAGTACTGAAAGATGTCATTTAACATAAAACTTATGACGCATGTCATGACATACATCACACATGACATGTCATGACACATCCCATGACATGTATGTGGATTTATTGTTCCTATGGTAACATACATTTTAAACACCTTATTCCAACCCTGTATGTGTAACTCGGGTACATATTATGACAGATGCTGGGGTACTTACGTGCAACTATTTCCCTTTTACCTAAAGTGCAATTAAAAAAGACATAGTAATGTTTTTGTATGGTTGTTGTTTCCCACATTGGTTTTCATTATTGTTGGAAGCTCTTGTTAATACTGTAAAGACTTCGAAGGGTAAGAAAATATAAGGATGTATTTACATATGAGGATTTGTGTTCATATGGGGATGTATGTGTGTATGAGGATTTCTGTGCATATGAATATGTATGTATAATTGAGGATATATATAAGGGTGTATGTGTGTATGAGGATATATATGTGAATAAATATGTATGCATGTGTATATGAGGATGTATTTACATATGTACCTGGGTAATGCAGTAGGGTTTTAGTAAGGTGTTTAGTAAGATGTGTCATGGGTTTGGTGTAATGAGATTTTTTGGTCTGGTGTTTTGTCATTGATATGTAAGACATGATGTTGGTTTTTTGACAATTTCTATGTTGGTTGACTTGATGTAATTTTACAGGCAGATTTTACTACTGTTTTTGATGGTGGTTCTTGTCATGTTTTGAAATTATATTTGGAATGGTGTTTTGTATTGACGTAAACCTATACTCCCCCACCCAACCTAGTCTCCAAAATATTGACATTAAAGTGGACACAGACAGGTATAACATTGACTCTCAGTGCTGTGGTTAGATGCATGTTGTATGTGAATGTATCACTGTAGGTCAAGGTCTAGGAATTGCTTGATCCTACAATTTCTAGTTTTTTAAACTTCTAGTCTTAGCATAATTTTTTTGTACACCCGGACAGCAATTGCAGACAGCTAAGACAGCAATTGCAGACAGTTCAATACCACACACAATAAAAACTGTCGACAGTTTTTTTGTGTAAATTATTTTAGGGAAATCATTTTTTTCTCTGAAGAACATGGTCTCTTGTACTCCAAATGTCAGAATGTATGGTCCATTAAACATTGTATTATGTGACCGCCCTCATTCTGGTTGGAGAGTAGCCTTGAAAGAAACCTTTGCATTAAACTCTCGACTCAGTAAGCCAAGTAGTTATAACATACAACTGTGTTGATCAAATGTTTAGTGGGATTACAATGTTTTTAAAAAATTGTATTGACTTTATTGTAAAGACTATAGCCAAATGTATTGTGTTTAAGTAAGATGAAAGACATGCATCCCATAGCACTGCCTAACATGTGAAGCACACATTTAAAGATGCCATTCTATAGTCTTAATCGGGAATTCCAGAATGATTATTTTTATATATTAAACTGTCACTTTATTTTTAAAATCCTGGAATTCCCGAATAACCATTTTAATTTGCTCATGACAATTCTATAAAGCATTTCATTATTTTTAGTTAATTCATCAGGGTAAAGACATATTAATATTATAAAACTATACTCGTGCTTGATTGTACATATCTAGTTTTGGTGACCTGATAATAAGTGCATGCTATTGTTTCAAATGTATATTATACAACAAAGTTTTTACTGTAAATATACTTTTATTTGATACATGGTGTCACCACATAAAATGTTATTTTTACAATTATGAGGTTAGTGTTATATGGGCGTGCTTCACATTTATGGCCCTATGTAAAACACAGAGCTTCGCATTTTCTCATGTGCCTTATTTTTTTCTCATCAAAGTCATGTGTCATTATTTTATGTCAAATGTCATTTTGTACTTCATGTTTTCTGACATTGCTAATTTACTTGAAATAAAGTCATAATTGTAAGTCTCTAAGACATCAGTTATATACTTATAATGTAATTATGTATTTGTCATTATTATATTTGTTTGTTTACTTTTTGCTTTAAATAAAAGATCATATATTGTAATTGTCTCAGAGTAATTGGTCACTGTCCTACCCATAGCAGTTAGTCACTGTCCTTCCCATGAATGTTAGTCATTGTCCTAGCAAGGATATACTTGGTTATTGTTCTGCATTGGATACACTAAGTCATTGTCCTACCCACGATACTTTTAGACATGTTCCTACCTTTAGCAATAGAAGTTGGTCATTGTCCTACCTAAGATAAGTTGGTCATTGTCCTACCTAAGATATGTTGGTCATTGTCCTACCTAAGATAAGTTGGTCATTGTCCTACCTAAGATAATTTGGTCATTGTCCTACCTAAGATAAGTTGGTCATTGTCCTACCTAAGATAAGTTGGTCATTGTCCTACCTAAGATAAGTTGGTCATTGTTCTACCTAAGATAAGTTGGTCATTGTCCTACCTAAGATAAGTTGGTCATTGTCCTACCTAAGATAAGTTGGTCATTGTCCTACCTAAGATAAGTTGGTCATTGTCCTACCTAAGATAAGTTGGTCATTGTCCTACCTAAGATAAGTTGGTCATGGTCCTACCTAAGATAAGTTGGTCATGGTCCTACCTAAGATAAGTTGGTCATGGTCCTACCTAAGATAAGTTGGTCATTGTCCTACCTAAGATAAGTTGGTCATTGTCCTACCTAAGATAAGTTGGTCATGGTCCTACCTAAGATAAGTTGGTCATGGTCCTACCTAAGATAAGTTGGTCATTGTCCTACCTAAGATAAGTTGGTCATTGTCCTACCTAAGATAAGTTGGTCATGGTCCTACCTAAGATAAGTTGGTCATTGTCTTACCTAAGATAAGTTGGTCATTGTCCTACCTAAGATAAGTTGGTCATTGTCCTACCTAAGATAAGTTGGACATTGTCCTACCTAAGATAAGTTGGTCATTGTCCTACCTAAGATAAGTTGGTCATGGTCCTACCTAAGATAAGTTGGTCATGGTCCTACCTAAGATAAGTTGGTCATGGTCCTACCTAAGATAAGTTGGTCATTGTCTTACCTAAGATAAGTTGGTCATTGTCCTACCTAAGATAAGTTGGTCATTGTCCTACCTAAGATAAGTTGGACATTGTCCTACCTAAGATAAGTTGGTCATTGTCCTACCTAAGATAAGCTGGTCATTGTCCTACCTAAGATAAGTTGGTCATTGTCCTACCTAAGATAAGTTGGTCATTGTCTTTTACAGTAGAAAGTTGGTCATGATCCTACCCAGTTTACACTGTACAATGAATTAAATAATGCCATATACAATTGGTCATTGTCCTACCCATGAATGCTAGTCCTACTCATCATTATCCTACCCAATAATGCAAGATATCAGTAAATGACTTGATTTTTTACACTTCTGAAGTAATAAATGACTGACAGTATTTAACTATTGACTGACACCATCAGAATTGTGTCCAACGCCCTGTCTAGTCAGGAACTGAAAGTTTGTAACCTCAGATTGTCCTTGTTGTATGACTAACTTGGACTTTGTGGATATTTGCTTCACATACACTGACCTAAGAGACTTCTGTCTTACTGAGCAAGTCGAATGCATTAAATTGGTACAACTCTGTTTCCGTTGTACAGGAGAATGGAATTGGCATTGACCTATAAGATATTCCTCTAATGCAGGGAAACTGTTAATACACTATCGGCAATGTGTAGCTAACATGACTTAGGTTTTTGGAATAAAATACAAAAAACATAAAATGATAAGAAATAACTCTTGGCAAATGTGAAGATATTTGGTTTCATTGGCTTTATTAAAATACGTGAGACATAATCAAAACAAAACTTTAGAAAAAGAGGAATTGAGTAAAACATGTGAGGTGACAAATATGTTGGAAACAACCATCTAAAATTGTTTTCTACGGAATCAAAAAAAAAACATTATAAAATAAACGTAAATCAAAAATTAAAACTTTAATTAATATAAATAAACCCATGGCAATATTGTTTGAGAGGAACCTGCTAACAATT